TGTTGTGCTTATCATATCCTCCATAGAACCTGCCCAATCACTATCAGCATACCCCTGTAACCTTCCTTGTTGATTACTGTCAAACCACAAGCCAAGTTCATAGGTTCCTTTGATGTACCTAAGAACTCTCTTGGCTACAACTAAATGAAGTTTACTAAGAGCTGACATAAACCTTGGCAAATAGCTTGCTGCAAACATCAAATCAGGTCTTGTAGCAGTTAAATAAAGCAGGCTACCAATTAAACTTCGGTAGTAGAAGGAATCAACCTTGGCTTCTTGATCATCCTTGGAAAGCTTTTCATTTTGAACCAGTGGAGTGGCAACTGGTTTGCAGTTCTCCATTTCAAACTTCTTCAAGATATCCAGTGCATACTTTCTCTGGCAAATAAAAATTCCCTTGCTCAATTGTTGAACTTCAAGTCCCAGAAAATACTTTGTCTCTCCCAAATCTGTCATTGCAAACTCTTGCATCATAACCTTCTTGAATTGTTCCAACGACTTCAAGTCATTTCCGGTTAACAATAAGTCATCCACATAAAGTGACAAAATAAGCTGAGATTCACTGCTGCTGCCTTTCACATACAAAGTTGCTTCTTTTGTGCTCCTCTTGAAACCTTGACTCATCAGGTAGTCATCAATTCTGCAATACCAGGCCCTTGGCGCCTGTTTTAGACCATACAAAGCCTTGTTAAGCTTATAAACACAGTCTTCCTTCCTTATAATCTCAAACCCAGGTGGTTGTTCAACATAAATTTCCTCTTGGAGAACACCATTAAGGAAAGCTGATTTTACATCCATATGAAACAATTTCCAACCCAAATCAACAGCTAATCCAATTAGAAGCCTTACCGTATCATGTCTAGCCACCGGAGCATAAGTCTCTCCATAATCGACACCCGGCTGTTGAGCATACCCCTTCACAACAAGTCTGGCCTTATGTTTGTGTATAGACCCATCTGGATTTAGCTTAGTTCGAAACACCCACTTCACTCCAATAGGCTTCTTATCATCTGGTTTTGGAACAAGACACCAAGTTTGATTTTTTTCGATCACAGACAGCTCCTCCTTCATGGCATCAATCCAAACCTGTTGTTTAGCTGCTTCTTCAAAACAATTAGGTTCTGCAGAAGCTAAATTACATCTTGCATAAATCTCAGCTAGTGACTTGGTTTTCAAAACCGGTGAATCATCATCAACTTCTGCAATTTCAGAACTGGAAGCAACATCTGAACCAGCTTCACACTGCTTATTTGAACCTTTTTCTATCTTCCCTGCATCCCAATTCCAGTGTGCACTCTCATAAAAAACAACATCTTTATGCACATTTACCTTCTTGGATATAGGATCATACACTTTATAGCCTTTTGCTTGTGTTGCATAGCCTATAAAGATCCCAATTTCTGCCTTGTCATCTAATTTTCCTCTTTTAGCTGCTGGAACATGATTATAACAAATTGAACCAAACACCTTCAAGTGATCAGCTGATGGTTTTTGACCATACCAAGCCTCAATAGGTGTCATGCCTTTTACTGCCTTTGTTGGTAGACCATTTAAGAGATATACAGTTGTATAAACTGCTTTAGCCCAAAAACATTTAGGCAATTTCTTCTCTGCTAACATGCACCTTGCCATCTCCATAACGGTTCTATTTTTCCTCTATGCAATGCCATTCTGCTGTGGAGTATAAGACACTGTCAATTGATGATCAACACCAGCTTCTTCACAAAACAAGTTGAAATCATTGGAGGTATACTCCTTGCCATTATCTGATCTGAGCTTCTTAATTCTGCATCCTGTCATAACCCGATTTTTCATTCAGCTTATTTAAGCTTTTCATATAAAAACAAAAACAAAAAAATATATATATTAATCACAAAAATTAATTAAAAAAAAAATCAAAAAAAATCAAAAATTATGAAAATATGACAATCCCTCTTTTCTTTAACTAATACATCTTTATTTTTTTTCTTTCAGGTGCAAAAAGGGGAAATTCAAGAAGGAAATGGGAAAGGAAACTCGAGAAAGGACTCAATTGAAGAAATGGAAAGTTGGAGGGGTGAAATGCAAAGTAAAACCCAAACCAAAGCCCAATTACCCAAACCCAAAGCCTACCAACTACCCAAACCCAAAATCCCAAAAAACCAAAAATTACCCAAAACCCAAAACCCACAATTACCCAAACTCAACCCAATACCAACCCATTTCAACTTAAAACCCAATTATCAAAAAAAAACAAAAAACAAAAAAAAGGGGATCTGGAACCTTCTCCTTCCCCATCAATCTTTCCTCATCAATCTTTCCTCTCTTCTGCAACCGAGC